GTGTGCAGTAGTCACTGGCACACAAGCTGGTGCCAGTGCTCCAGAGCTCAGTGCAGCTGTTTGCAGCCTCCCAGCCACCTGCTAGACCTGCCCAGAGCCTGGGCCAGCTGTGGCAGGCAGCTGGGAGGCTGCAAACAGCTACACCAGGCTCTGGAGCCATTGGCAGTGAGCAGGGGACAGGGGTTATGTTGCCCCAGGCCCTTTCATTGCCCTTCACCTGGAGGTGCATGGGCACCCAACCACCACCATGGAGCCATTGCCAGAGCTACAGAGCCCCACGCAGCTGTTTGTAGGCTCACGGCTGCCTGCCACAGCCAGCCTGGGCTCTGAGCAGCTGCAGCAGGCAGGCTGCAAACAGCTGCACCACGCTCCACAGCCCTGGTACCAGCTCCATGCCAGCAGTGACTGCATGTGTGCCTCAGAGTGCAAAGCAGGGAAGAGGCCAGGGAAGTTCAACCCCAGTAACTCCCTCGCTCCACCTGGAGGTGCTCATGCAGCCACCACCAGCAATGAGGATTGGGCTTCTTGCAGCTCCTCCACTCTCTGCCCCAGCACACCAAGTCAAGGCATAGGTCAGGACTGGGATGTTCTTGGCACTCCAGCCAAAAACATAGCCAACCCCTGGACTGGACTCTGGTCTGCACCATATGCGCAGGAATGGAAGGAGATGTAAAAATCCTCCCCTGTGGGCCACTTAGGTTCAATTAGTGTATGAATTGGTTTTCCTGTCTCAGTACATTTCTTTGAGATCTCAAAAATTGTCCCACTCTCCCCTGAAGCAACACCAAGATCCTTTGAAGATTTTTTAATGAAAACGAAAGACATACCCAGCCCAGTTTTGTTGTCAGTTTGATTACTGGACTTAGCTGGGGAAGGTTCGATTATTTTTCTCATATCTAACTACTAGGCTACTAGGGGATAAGTTGGTGGACCTGCTGGACCTGTCCTACTTCGTGTAAGTAAATATTCACTGGAGTCTTGAACTCATATGAAGACCCTAACCGTTGGCATCAGAGCTATTCATTCTCTCCAGCTGAATGACTGTAATTATGCAAATAATGGCACAGGTTTACCTGCAGAACTTCAAGGCCTTGTTACATTACACTGTGAGCTGCTTAAATGTGGATGGGTGTCAGTGCTAGGTTGAGTTTGAAACAGTCACATATTCAGGCAAGCAGGGGGCTGGAAGACTGAAAGGTAACAATCCCTTCCCCCCCGCCCCCACTGCCAGGCTACCCCCTTGCCCCTTGGGGCTTCCCACCTGCAC